AGCGCAGGGAAGAGGAATGAGGAATTTGCCGCACTCACACCGCGGCCCAACCACTTCTGCTTAGCGCAGCAAAGCGCAGGGCGGCTCTCCTGGCCTGCCTGCACCGCTTGCCAGGGCAGGAGCCGGGCATCCCTGCCACGACTCCCGGCTGGTCCCCACCGCAGGCCCTGGAGGAAGGGCTTCAGGAGGGACCTGGAGCTGGGGAGGGTGGAGAAGGAGCTCCCAGTTCTGGAGGGTGCTCCACAGCTGTGTGGATGCAGCATCCCAGAGAGAGTTGCATGTGGGGCCATGCATCTGCCCTAAACAACAGCACCCACCCCACAGGTCCCGCCTCTGCTCTGGCGCCTGCTACACGCTGATGCTTTGCAGGGAGGGGACATCTTGGTAGTGGCTCGTAACTGCAACGGGATGCAAAGCCCGACACAAGGACTTTGCAGGGGGCAGTGTTGGCAGAAGAAGAAAGCCAGGGGAAAGTCCCCCAACAAGCCCTGGGCACAGAGAGGAGCTTGTGTGCTTGGGGGACCCCCAGGGAAGGCAGTGGAGTGAGGGAAGGGGGAAGGGAAGGGTTCAACAGGCCCAGCAGGGAGAGCTTCATTCCTGCCGGCCCAGTGAGCAAGCCAGGACTTGAGGTGAGAGAAAGCACGGCAGTTTGCATGACTGGTTTGCTGGGAAGCCAGCTGCAGGGCTGGCCTGCAGCACTGCCAAACTTCCCCCATGAGAATCGGGATTATTTGGAAGGGGAGTGAAATTCCCTTTCTCCTGAATCCTGGTGGGGATTTTTCAGCTTTTCAAAGAGCCAGTTTCCATCATAAGGAGGTTGTGAAGAGCTTGTCTTTCCCCATCCAGCTCTCATATTTGCCAAGTGGAAAAGGAGGGGAGATGCATAGGAGAGGACAAGGAGGGACCAGGGCCAACAAAGGACCTGCCAAGATCAGGAGATGCTCCAAGCACCAAGCTCCAACCTCCAGGCTCCAAGGAGAAATGAGAAAAAGCAGGAAGCAAAGTTGCAGAGATGCTGCTGTGGTGTGGCATCAGGGGAATGATGTGCTCCTGGCCAGGAACGGTGGACAGCCAAGGGGCTCCTATAAGATCCTTGTCCTGACCCACTGTGACCACAGGAGGGACCATACCTCCCCCGAATAGCCCCCAGGCCAGACAAGAGCTGCTCCCCCAGGACAGGGTGTCTCACTCAAAGCCACTGGGGTGGCAGTGGTGGCATTCGGACCAGAGCCTGCTGGCCCTTTTCCATCTCTCCAGGGCTGTAGAGAGTCACCAGCCCAGCCAGCAGCTCTGCAGACATCTCCAGTCACCCCCTCTCACGGGCATGGGAACCCAGAGACACAGGGATGCAGGCTTGCAGAGATCAAGGACACAGAGATGCAGAGATACAAGGATACAAGGACTGAGGACACAGGGCTGCAGGGTCATGGGGATGCAAGGATCAAGACAGGGATGCAGGGACACATGGGTGCAAGGGCTGAGCTCACAGGGATACAAGGCTGCAGGAACACAAGGATGCAAGGACTGAGGACGCAGGGATGCAAGGACACGGGGATACAGGGATGCAAGGCTGCAGAGATCAAGGACCCAGGGCCACAAGGATCCAGGGCCACAGAGATGCAGGGACATGGGTATGCAAGGATCAAGGACACAAGATGCTAGGATGCAAGGATCAAGGACACAATGATCATAGCCACAGGATGGGAGCAGGAGCAGGAGTTTTGGCTCCCACATGGTATTTCAGTCATGTCGCGGTGACAGGGACATGTCCTGGCCTGAGCAGGACACAGGTGGGATAAAAGATGGTGAAACCCAGTGAGATAGTGCAGAAAGAGCAGAGGGAAATGCCTGTGACGACAGAGCGATAAAGCAGGTAAGAACCCACCTCCACACCAGTCTTCCTCGTGCCAAGGTACAGAGCTCCATCAGGCTGTTGCTCTGGCTGAAAAGCAACCCTACCAAAACAAACAAATCTGGGCGCTGCTGCCACATCCTGGGAGGGCGTAGCAGGAGGAGCCGTGACATCCTGCCCCAACCTGCCGGGCTTGGGCATCCTCTCCCCACGGCCTAAGTCCTGCATTCACAAATGGGCTTTGGGGTTTCCCTTCCCATTTTTGTACACTTCTCTGCCGCTTCACTCATGCAGGGCTATGCTTCCCCATTCTTCTGGCTCCCAGAGACTGTGAAAGCCCTGGGGGTGGGGGGCTGCAAGGTAATGGGCAGGACAGATGATGGCCAAGCAGTCAGTGAGCAAAGCTCTCAAGAGGAGCCCATTCCCTGAATCCCTAGACCCAGAAAGCTGCCGGCAAACCTGCTGCAAGGCTGCTCCGCATCCGGATTTGGATAAATAAAGTGTGGGACATGAGAGCTGCGGTATGCCAGGAATGCTGCAAGCCTTCCCGGGTGGCTGCCTGCAGCTCTCAGGCAGCAGGAGCTGGGGGAAGCAAGGCAGGTACAGCCCCGGCTGCAGGCCACCAGGATCTGCCAGCATATTCCCAGGAGCAGCAGCTCCCCATGAGCTTCCCACCCAGTCCTCCCCATCATTTCGGTGAGTCCCTTTCAGACATGCCCTTGTTTCCCTGCTTGCAAAGCCCAGAAGCCATGGGTGCAAGGAGAAGCCTGGCTCCGAGCTTCCGATCGCCCCGAGTCTCTCTCACTTGCTCTTGCAGGCACAGAGACCTGTCCCATGGTCACAGAAAGCCCCAAATTTTCAACCATGCTCCTTCCAGGTTCCTGGGTAGGAAGGGTGGAGCTGAGCCGGTGTTCAACACCACAGTCTCACCAAGACCAGTGATCTTCCACGGAGTCCTAAGCCACCTTCCAGGGAGGAGCTGGCAGCAGAGCTGGTTTCTTATGCCATTGTTCTGCATAATCCGAGCTAAAGCCCATTGCACAAGATCTCCTGGTCCCCAGGGACAGCAGGATTTAAAAAAAAAAAACCAAACCCACAACCCAACAAACAAACAAAAAACCCAAACAAAAACAAATAAACAAAACAAAACAAAACAAACAAACAAAAACCCCCTGAGTTGTCAATAAATGCCGAAGAGGAAAGCCCCAGCCCGCTGGTGATCGGTCCAGCTGGGCTGCCAGCACTCAAGCAGTCACCAGGGATGCTCCCTGGCAAGCATTAATGTGACAGCTATTAAAAATGAAAGGCAAGTGACAGCAGCAAATAAAAAGCTCAGAGGAGGCTAGGGAGCAGCACGGTGTGGCTGTGGAGGTCCTAAGGCAGCCCTAGCTTGAACACCAGAACTTCTGGTCTACCAGGAGACCAAGGAGCCAAGAAGGGTGTGAAGGGCTTGGGGATGGCTGACCAAGCCCAGGGAGAGCTTTGGGACCAGGTCCAGCCTTGCTTGAAGACATGGCCGTCAAGGAGTCCTCGTGGTGGGGGCTTAGGAGGGAGGAACAGATGGTGCAAGGAAGAGGAGGAGGATCCCACCAGGATGGAGTTACAGGAGTACTACACACAAGAAGGAAACTACATCGACATTTCTTGGCAAGCCCATCCTTTTCCCCCGTCAAGGTGTGGGAAATGGGATCCCAAAGGGATTTTGGGAACACAGAGAAGCTCTTGAACATTTTTTCCCCCCTCTCCCAGGCAGCTGCACCCCAAATGGCTGTCCCAGGGCACTGGGAAGAGCAGCATTTCAGCTAGGGGATCACCACCCTTAGACCCCTTCCTCCCAGCAGCACCTCCATCTCACCCCATCACATGGGGGAAAAAAAGTACCCATGGGTCAATATTTGGGGGTTTTTTTTAATTAAAATATTGTCATACCAAGTGGAATGCTACAGCAATCTCTGTATAGGGCGGCATAATGAAACAGCCGGGTTTATGTTTAAATACTTAAGATAACTTAAAATGCACAAACAAGAACTCATAGTCTTTGGCAGGAAAAAAAGTTCACAGCATGAAAAAAAATACTTTAAAAGAAATACCAATATTAATATAAAATATATTAAGTTATGGAGTTACTTTTTCCTCTTTCATAATTTTGTTTGTTTTCAACTTTGTAAACAATGCACAAGAACTGAATGCATTTTTTACTTGTCTGGGAGATAAAAAATAAAAAAGTGCAGTTGTCCAGCAAATGCACACATGTTTAAAGAAGAAAGAAAGAAGAGGAAAAAATATATATACACAAAGGGCAAGGATGGGAAGCGTCCAAGCTCAGAGGAGCAAGATGGTGCTGGCTATGGGCAGAAGCCAGCTGCCAGTAGCCAGGGGATGTGGTGGTGGGATGAAGCCACCTCCATCAGCCGTCCTCAGTTCACTCCAAGCATTTCATTCCGGTTTCAAGGGGATTTCTCCTTCACCTTTCATTCCCTCAATTATCGTTTTCTTTTTTCCATCCCCACCAGCCCATCCCAAACCCCTTGCCCACCCGTGATAAAAATCCAGAGGCAGGTGATGGATGCAGATGATGGAGGTTTGGGGCTCCTGGAGCTCAGCTTGGCCATGTGGATCCAGGCAGTCAATAGGACTCACAGAGGATCCCTCCTGGCTCTGCCCTTGTGCAGAGACATTGGCTTGCGGGTACAGCTGGTGTGAACAGAGAGGGATTTTCCAGTCGGAGGCCAAGGACCTGGGTAGGTGCAGATGGCCATAACCCAGAGGTGGGATTGGGATGGAGCCAACAAGGGAGGGGATGGGGAGAAGCCCCTCGCCTCAGGAAGGAGAAGAGGCTGAAACGATAAACACATTTGTTCTTGTCGTACAAAACCTGGGGGTATTTACAAGGGGGTCACGAGGCCCCGCTGCCACCGTGGGGTCCTCGGTCTCCAGCACGCCCCGCGCAGCTGGGGACCCGTGTGGGTGCCGAGCGGGGTCGGTGGCCCTCCCATGCGTAGTGATCACCCGCCGAGATGCCGCTGAGCTCCAGGCTCAGTCCTCCTTCCTGCAGGCTCCTCTGTGCCAAGCGGGTGCAGGCAGGGCGGCTCTGCCTGTGTGGCAGGCAGGGAGGACAGAGGGGCCAGCGTGCAGCCCCTGGGTGGCCTTAAATCAGGATCTCCACCATGTCAGACAGGTCTGGGGCTCTGGCAGTGGCCGAGCTCTCTGTAGAGAAAAAAGGTGAGAGGTGGAGGAGAGGTGAAGAGCATCCGCACGGCACCCACCCCACCAAAGGGCCCGCAGCAGGCTTACTGCTGGTCCAGCCTTCCCTCAAGATGTTCAAGAAAAAAGCTTGGCACCTTAAAAATAAAAAAGCAATGAGGATTGCAGGGATTCAAACCCACCAGACTCAAATGGGGCCTTTAAAATTACTTAAAACACCACTAACACTTGTGCAAAGCCCATCTCCTAGATGCCAAGCCCACATGCTGGAGCATTCCCAGCTCTCCCCTGTGCCATCCCCGGGGGACTCACCCAGCAAACCAGCCGGGCGCTCAGTGCCCTCGCCCTGGCCGCTGCTCTCAGCCGCCCCGTCTGTCTGCGTGCTGCCGTCCTTGCTGCCGTGCTTGGAGTGGGAGGGCAGGGGAAGCGCAGCAGGTGCTACTGCTCCTTCAGCGGTGGCTTTGCCTGCTGGAGGAGATGCCATTAGGGACTGCTGGCTCCTCCCAGCTGGTCCCTACGGCTCACCAGAGAAATCCCTCCTCCCCAAGCTCTCTACTTTCAAAACTGAAACCGCAGGGGAAATCGCAGGCAACTCCCTGCTGCTGAGGGAAGGCAGGGAGCAGGCAGGTGCCTCTATTTACCTGTGCTGCTATGGCAGCTGCTCTCGGCTAGCCGGTCGCTTTGGCCAGCCCCCGGCCAGCTCAGGGTGGTGGAGGCAGCAAAGATGGAAGGCACGGACTTGGCTGGCCGCAGGGAGCCCTGTAGGGCTTTGCTGGGGTCCCTCCGCGAGCGCTGCTGCAGGACCTTGATGACGGCATCCTTCTCCAGGATTTGGGCATGAAGGGCTTTTAACCTGGAGAGAAGAAGAGGGAGAAGCTGGGAGAGGAACCAGAGGGGGTGAGGAGGATGTGAGCACTGCCCAACCAGACCACGGCACAAGCTTGTTGGGGAAAATGCCTCCGATGAGGTGGGACTACCTGCTCTCCATCTCCTGGTGCTTGTGGCTGGCCAGGAGGAGGTCCTCGTTGAAGCTGCTGTTGGGGGAGTGCCGCGGGGAATGGCTGATGAGGGTGGTGTCCCGCTGGGCGGCCGCGGTGGCCGCAGCGTCCATGGCAAACTGCCGCATGGTGCACTCCTCCAGATACTTCTGCTCCCACTTGGTCATGTCAGCCTCCAGGGCCAGGATCTTCTCCTCCTTCTCCCTCAGCTGCTCAGAGAGCGTGTGGGCACT